CACCTAATGTGACCAGATATGTTTGCTATAAGAATAGTAAATAGCAATGATTATTAATATTATATTTAAAAAATTGAATAATTTTTCTTGTACAATACATACTAAGATTACATACTAAGATACATACTAAGATTACATACTAAGATTACATACTAAGATTTGTAACTTTTTGTTATCAGAATTAAATTCATGGTACTCTTCTCTCGTGGATATCGGCAAATTCAAATCTTGTATTATGGACTGAGAATCATTTATCAAGCTTTGGATACTAACTAATGTATTAACTTGTTGTCCAATTAAATGCACTTGTTGTCCAATTGAATGCACTTGTTTGCTTACGTTTCTAAAATATATAAATAACATAACAAGATAAATATTAAAAAGGGTCTATTTTTGGAAATGGAATAAAATAAATAAATAAATTTATTAATTAATTAAACAATATAAATGAATATTATGATATAATATTCATTTATATTGTTTTTAGATAAAAGATAACATTTTTTTACGACTACCAACTAGGTAGGTACATACTCTAATTTCTGCATTATTGATTGAAATACAGGTGAAATGGAAATATCATCTGTAGTATCCTGTAACCTTGAAGTGCTTTGTAAATCTACAATCAAAACATTAGAATTAAATAATATGATATATAAAAAATTTACAAAAATTTTATAAAAGATATAGGTACCTTCATTTCGGCATCTTTGGTGATACAAATTAACTGTTTTGTCATTAATTAAATACGAATTTTCTGGAAGTGATGTAGACATTAAATTTGAAAAAGATTTTTCCTTGGATGAAATCACATTAGACGATTCCTTCATTTGCTCGAGTTCAAGTGTACCACACAAATTGTATACGTTATTATTGCTTATTGATGTAGAATCCACTAAGAAATGCAAGGAATAGATGAATAAAACGAAATATAACTTTAATGTCTTGAAATTTTTCACGCGTGGAAGGACTCATACATACAGCATATGGTTCCAATATTTCGATCAGCTTGGTTATCCATGTTATGTATGTTTATATTTTCGGCACTATTACGCATTTCCATAATGAAACACTGAACACTAAACGCGACAAACACAAGTGTTGTGGCTGCCGTTGAAGCTTTAGGTTATGAAGAAAGCGGAAAGAAGAAGCTAACTCCTCTGTGTTCACTTGTTTAACCGTGTGCATACAATTTCCCGCGCATTTCTTTTAATTTAAATGTTTTCGAACTTAATTTTCGATATACATTATTATTAATAAATATTACTTTATAAAATTTTATAAAGTAATATAAAATTTTTATTATAAAATTTTAATTAACATTTTAATAGACGCATTATTAAAATAATTATTAAATTTAGTTATTTGTATTAATATTTAAACAATACGAAATATATAAAAGTTAAGTTAATGTAATAACCATTCATCATTATAAATTTCAACTATAATATTAATGTTTCTTTCAAAGTCTAGTTCTGCGTTTTGCCAAAAAGGCATTTTATAAGCCTTGGATTTAACATCCCGAAATGAAATTTCATATGTATCTCGAGATAACTCTGTACATTTAAAAATTCCTACTTCTTGTGAGTTTAAATTATTGATGTTATAAAATGCATTAATAACTTGAAATTTTTGTACAATTAAACGATACTCATTGTCATCATCATATTGTAATATATTCACTATAATGCAAACAGTACCATCTTGTAAAATGCAACAATGATTGCTTTTGTCTAATTTGTAAGTAACTCCATTTATTTTAATACATGAAAACTGCTTTATGTTTTCTTGCTGATGCACATGAGGGCCTTTATGTAATTTTTGACGATATACACGAGTCGTGAAAGTGGGATTTTGCGAAGAACTCTGGAAATCGTGATTTTTTGTCTCTATGTAACGATTATAAATCTGTTGTAATGACATAGAAGGTTTACGAACCACTTTTTTAAAAAACATCATATTATTCTCAAACGGAAAACAAGAAAAATGATCCAGTGGACCGAAATTATGAACATCATCCGTTAAATGAATTAGATTATGGACATTGTACGATAAAAAGTTTCTACCATAAACAGAAATACTGTCAGTTACAAATGATTCTAAAATCATTTTTGCTTTTTCAATATCATTGTGGGTTCTTTCATTTGATGATACAAGAATACGGATCGCATAATGTAATTTTAAAAAATGCTGCATTCGTTCATCGTCACCAAACAAATCTAACAAAACAGTTGGTCCCGTAAATAATAACAATTGTCGAAACTCAGTTGCTTTAAAACGTCGGCAAAAATCCAGTCTTCTCGGTTTTCAAGAAAATTCACATGGGCAGTAATTAATTAATGTTGAAAGGCGATTTCAAATACGATCTTTTACAACATCTTTTAATTTCGTTGGCCGATAGAACCCTTCTAGTCATGCTTTTACGATTATTTGTTTGACTACTCCTAAGTACACTAAATGCATACTATCTAGCGGAGTTTGACGTACTAAATCCAATGGTAATGAATGCAGAACCGAGTAACCATGATGATGATTTA